GCAGTAATGCATCCAGACAGAAAACCAACTACCCGATGGATTAGTCACCAAATCCATCCTGAGACCACACCTCTGCACCCCCACCTGCTCAGCAGGCCCCAACAATAGCAAAGTCCATGGGGCAAAGCCTCTTTATTATTTTTTACTATATATCCACTGCACCCAACGTATAGTTTTGGAATTTTGTTTGTTTGGTTTTTTTTCCCCTATTCTATTGGAAGTCCTATTGAGGGCAGGGACTGTGTTTTTCCTTTCTCTGTATTCCCAGAGCTTAGCACAAAATGAAAATGTCAGACTAGATGACTCTCAAGGTCCCTTCTAGTTACTACTATTATTCTCTAACAGGTGCTTAATAAATGCTTATTGACATGACATGGCACTCCTCTGATTATCATCTGTTTAGAGAGTTCCTGGAAAGGAACTTCCCCAAACAATGCAAATCAGCATTGTCTTTGCAATTCATACTTTTGCAGAGTTAGTTGCCCAGGGCACAGAAAGGTAAATAATATACATGGGGTCACAGGGCTGGTTTGCTGAAGAAGCTAGATTTGAACCCAGATATTCTACATTCCAAGGCCAGTTTTCTATTCACTTACTATGCCAGGCTGCTCTCTGCACATAGTGGGTGCTTAGAAAACGCTCACTGGCAGAAGAGAACAATTTATAATATAGCAACAACATTTTAAAGTGAACTTTGAAATACTTAAGATTTAATTAATTAATCAATTTATTATCATTATATATAATCAATTAATATTATATAATTATATGTCATGTAATATATTATTATATAATATTTCATTTTTATATTCACTATATATTTATATGCATATATTATGTATAACATAATGATATAATTTTATATCATTCTATATAATCAATTATTAATCAATGTAAAGACCCAACTGGGATTCCACAGAACTAAAGATAAAGCATTCCATTCACCCCTTAACAATTTGTAGAATAAAGCACATTTTTTGTCAATGGTCATGACATGGTCTATGTGTGAATTTATTTTGCATTTCTAAGCATATTTGTGACAAGATTCCCTCCCCCAACCCACCCTAAGCTGGAGGAGAGAGAAAGAAAATATATTTTTATTTACTGGAAAAATAAGATAAAATTTAATTTTTAAATAAATGATCACTTAATGGAATTAAATTTTTAAGGAGGAAAATAAAATAAATAAAAAGAAGCCCTAGCTGGATCTATATTCTTGTAACTCAAAGGCCACTTTAAAGTTTTTATGGTTCCTTTTAAGTTTATCCTCAACATAATTTTAATTGAAAAAGGTTTCAATTTTAGTCTCTCAATCCTGGATCTCTGATACACAACATTCTTAAGGTTTAGCATGCCACATATAAGTAGCATTTCCTTTTGCCCCTTTTTAATGCACCTGTTATGTATTAGTTGTAGGTGTGTCTTATCCTCCCCTTAAGACTTGAGTTTCACAATCGTGTTTGTGTATCTAATATCCCTACCCCTAACTACACAGTACTCCGCAAACAAAAGGCACTTCATTGATCAACATCCATTTACTGAACACCTACTCTGTGCCTCGTGTGTGCTAGGTACTAGGAATACAAGTAGAAAGAATGAAATGATCTCTATTTGGGAAGGTCTTACATTCTAACGATGAAGACAAATATATTCCTGCAGCAGAAACATAAATCAATCAACAAGTATTTATTAAGCAATTACTGTATGCCAAGCACAGTGGATAAAAAGTGAATAATACAAACATATATGAAGTAATTAAATATAAGGTAGTGGGGGGGGAAGGGATGAGCAACTGAGGGATCAGGAAAGGTTTAATGCAGAAGGTGTTTGTGCAGCCGTCTTAAAGGAATAGAGGGTCTCTGTGAAGAGAAGATAAAGAGGGAGTACATTCCAGGCAGGTGGGATGTCCAGTGAAAAAGCATGCAGATGGGTATCATTTATGAACAACCAAGAAAAGCCCATTTTTGCTGATCACAGAGTATAGTACAGAGAATATAAATAAATTCTCGAGTCTGGCATTTAAAGCCCTTCACAATCTGGCTCCAGCTTACCTTTCCAAATTTATTTCTTGCTACTGCCCTTACATTTTCTGTCACAGACAAAAAGGCTTACTTGCAATTCCTCAAATGCAACAATACATTCTTCCTGGATCCCTGCCTCTCAGAGTTCCTCGCTTCATTCAAGGTTCATCTCATGGCCAATTATTAGAGGGAGCTATTCATGACCTCCTCCTTTATCCAGTATATATCTATCTATTTGGACATTGCAGGTACCTAGTTTAACATAAGCTCCCAGAAAGTAGGGACCTTTATCATTTTATCTTTGTATTATAAAATTCATATAACAGGGGCTTATATTGGTTTGGACGGAATGCCCCTGTGTTATTTCATCTCACCTCAAAAATGTCACTTGAGCTAGAGTATTCCCCATGTGGAGATTAAAGTGACAACAAATTTTCTGGGACAAAGGTGACTGTCCCTTAATGCCTGCAGATGGAGCTATTGGATGTGTTTGGGCACTCTATGACCATTCTGCAAATGGATTCAGTAGCAGGAGAAAAACCCTGAAGACAATTCTAATTCTATCTGTTTCTAACAAAATATTTCCCCCACAATTGGCCTCCAAAACATTGCTAAAGGCCAAAGACACTACAGGTTTCCTAGTTATTAACCCAGAGAAGAAGATGGGGCTCTATCCCTCTATCTGCTCCCTCCTCTTCAATCACAATGCAATCCCCTTAATTAAGGCCTTTATTACCTCATGCCTAGACTAGCATAAAATAATCCTAATCCTAAATGGTTTTTCTGCCTCCAGTCTCTCCCCTCCAATTCATATTGCCCAAGTAATCCTCATGTGCCACTCTTGCACTCAAAATCAGCATGCTCTCACTCTCTCTCAATCATTTTTCCTTCAAGGCCCAGCTTAGGATGTTACCTTCTCCTTTCCCCTGACCCCTAAAAGTGATTTCTAATCTTCCTAGAATTACTTATAACACATTGTTTGGCTGTACCTCTTCACACTTACGTTCTGTTGTCTTGAAGTTATGTGTGTAGGCATTTTTTATCTTTGTTTTATGTGTATGCACACACATACAACATACACATATATGTGTGTACATATGTGTGTGTGTGTATATATATATAATTTTAGGTATATATATCTTTGATCTATTTATATTTAGCCACAGGACTTTGCACATAGTAGGTACCTAATAAGCTGGATTGATTTCAGTAAAGTCCACATTGTTTTTAAGGAATGGACAGTATTCCCTTTTTCAATCATTTAATAATCATACATCAATAATAGTGGCATCTTTGCTACAAGAAGTCTTAATTCAGAATCTTATTGCCCCTTACTACAAATAGATGTTCCACTGGGAATCATAAGGTATCTAGGATACACCTAGGGTAAAATATTTCCCCCCAAATTGATGCAATGATCATTAATCTATCACTACTATTTTTACGTCAACATTTTGATGGTAACTTATTCTACGAATGCTGAGAAGCACAACCCATCTGGTCCTAATAAGGTGCTATAGGCTAAAAAAAATCCTACCAAGGTTCCCAGTCCTCTAATCATAAAGCCACTTCTTTACTCACTTAGTTAGCCCTAACTCACAGGAGCACGGTTCCTCACTAGGCACATCCTTAAGCCTTTCTAGTCTGGTAGGAGCTGCCAAAGCTTGTGCTCTCCTGGCACAAGTTTGGATAATGTTGTCTCTTCTGACCTCCAACTCTCAGAATCTTTAAGCTTTCTTTAAGGTTCAGTTTCAGTACCACTTCCTAAACAAGGCCTATTATGATCCCCAGAGTTGATAGTGCTCTTTCCCATTCCCAGGAACCCTCAACATTACTGCATATACATTTTTTATTTTATATTATATATATATATATATATATATATATATATATTTCACTTGCTTATATGTGCACGTGTTACATCATGTCTCCTACCCTCAAAGGAATGCAAATTCCCTAATGGCAGGAATTGTTTCATATTTGTCTTCATATCCCAGTGCCTAGCACAGTACCAGGCCCATATAATAAAATGCTTGTTGAAAGAATGAGAACCCAGGGTCACCTTCATCTTCACCCCATAATGGCCCAATAAAGGAGAACTAGAGTGGAAGAATCATAATCATTGTATTTGTTAATAAGAATAATTAACTATTAATAGTTATATAAAAGGAAGGTAAGGAAACAGACAGGATAAAGTGCTGGAGTCAGGAAGACTCTGAATCTGGCCTCAATGGGCAAGTCACTTAACTTCTAAGTTTTCTTATCTATAAAATGTGGATAATAATCACCTACCTCACAGGGTTGTTATGGAGAACAAATGAGATAACAAGTGCTTTGCAAACCATTAAGCATTGTACATTAGATTTTAAGATTGGTATTACTGCTATTATATAGCCCTTTGGTATTTACAAAGTAATCTCTTCACAACAACCCTATGAGATAGGTAATGTGGCAGGCAAATGTTATTGAAGGCTTAAAAATCTATTTTTGGGGCAGCTAGGTGGCGCAGTGGATAGAGCACAGGCCCTGGAGTCAGGAGGATCTGAGTTCAAATCCAGCCTCAGACACATACCACTCACTAGCTGTGTGACCCTGGGCAAGTCACTTAACCCCACTGCCTGACAAAAACAAAAATCAAAAAACAAAACAAAAAAAAAATCTAATTTCAGGACATTAAATAATGTCCCAACCAAGAATATAAATGTAAATATCACTTTAGGCATTCAGAAATTTCTGAAAAACAGGTTGACAAATGTTCAAGTCACAGGCTTATAGGCACATAGGATCATAGATTGAGAGCTAGAAGGCCACTTAGACACCATTAAGTCCAACCTTCCCCACCCCTCCTTGGCAGTCCTCATTTTTTATAGATTAGGAAAAGGAGGCCCACAGATTTGTCACACAGAGAGTAATTGGCAGAACTAAATTCAAACTGAGCTCCTCTCCAAAACCACCACAGAGGTTTCTGAGAGATTTCACCTTGGCAGCCCCAATCTGCTCCTTGCGGAACTTTTCAAGAGGTGTGATGAGCACTTCGCTGGCATTTTCAATCTGACAAGAAAAAAAGCAAAAGGAGAAATGTGATTTCTATGCAGTCACACAGTTCAGCTACCCATATGCAAAAAGATTATCGAAGAAAATATATGTGTGGCAGAGAAAATACACCATACCCCATGCCTAAATGAATACTGGAATGAACACCATGTTTCGTGGGTATCATTTGCAAAATAATATTTGCCCCATAAAGAACCAACAGATAATAAAGAGTTTCTGTAATTATATGTGAGGGTAGCTAAGTACTAATGCCATTTTTAAAAAGAGAGAGAATTAAGAGGTAGTTTCTAAATGTTAAGACTATAATAATTTTAAGAACTTCAGCTGCCCAGTTTCTGCTATTAACAAACACGGTCCAAAGCAAGTCAACTGATGAAGTCCATTTTTATTCTTTTTTACATTTTTACTAATAAACTGTTTTAACATGCCATACAAAACCTCAGCAGACTGTCAACTGAATCCCCCACCACAATGTACAATCCCTCTAAATTTAGATTCAATCATTCTTTTAATAGGCATCTATTAAGCACATACTATATATTCAACTTCTCTACTTGATGTCAGAAATCTGCCTAGCCTAATAGGAAGTACTTCTGTAGAAGAGTATTCTTGATGTACAACTGAATTTCTTAGTTCACTATGTTCAGATATGTAGAAGCGGGACTGATATAATGGTGGATGGTAGGCAATGTCTCCCTTTAGTGACCTATATAGTGAGTGGTACTTAAGTAAATGAAGATGATGGCATATGGGAAATGTTTTGAGGTCCTAAGAGCAGGGATGTTATTTAAATTCATTTAGTACACTAGAGCCAATTATTCACTGTCCATTGAGGCATAGTTCATTAGAGTTGGCAAGGATCAGTTACCATCTAATAGTCTAATCATCTCATTTTACAGTGGGGGAAATGGTAGCCCAGAGGTGAAGGGAGTTATCCAAAGACATGCTGCTAAGTCATACATGTTTTATGTCTTGTCTTTGAAATTGAAACTGTAAGCTCTTTGAGTATAGGAATTCTATCCAATATTGTTTCTGCATCCATCACACTACCCATCAGCACATAAGAGTTAGTCAATAAATACTCAATAAATAGCCAACTGGCCACAGGAAATGGGGGCAGGGATGTGATCCAGAGAAGTAAGAGGCATTGATGTAACCAAGAGTAACCTGACTCACAGACACCAATAAGCAGAATTCATAGCCTGACTGAAAAGAATAAGCCAGCCATTGTTCCCTTAACACGGGGTCAAGGCAGTTTGGAAAGTGGTGTATTGTGATGTTTCCCCCACCCCCAACACTGAATTCTGCCAAGAACAAGACCCCAAGGGAGTTACTTCCCTCTCTTAGGCAGATGCATTCAACACCCTTACCACAATCCTTCCCTTTCCCCAACCCCCAACCTCACTATTCTTCCCTCATGGTGAATGCTCTAGAGAAAAGGGACGATGTCTACTTCTGTTCTTGGGCGCCCCTGGGTGCTTCTATTCTGCCTGGAAGACAATCTACTAATTGTGGGGTAAAAACTCTATTATCTCCTAAACAAGCATGAAGCATATACTTTCTGCTAAAGCAAAAAGCAGTAGCCGATCAGAGAGAGAGGCATCAGCCTGCCCTCCCCGCTTCCAAAAGCCCTCTCTGCCAGCCAACCTGCTTGGTCAAAGGCACTTGGTTTGGGGGCACGGAAAGAGAGGAGGAGGAAAGTACTCAGTAACCAAATCCCCTCTAACCCCTGGATATTTGCCCAGGGCCTGATAAGTGAAGAGGCCACCATACCACCAAAAGCAGCTTTCAAACCCCCCCTTTAAGGCTGGAATTTGAGGAATTCTGAGGAAAGGGCAAATAGACTTTATAGAGTCCATCACCCACTAACCCGACACTGCCAAACTAGAAAAGTGCCAGCATATCAGCAGCCAGGAGAGGAAAGAAAAATGTTGAAAGCAGTATTTAATCCTTGAAATTAAATAATACCCCTATTCTTAGGAGCTCAGAGCACTTCATATATGCCATCATCTTCATTCACTGAATATGACTCACTCCATAGGACTCTGAAAAGAAATATCACCTGCCACATATTTGTATTCCACATATCTCTTGAATGTGTTCCACAATTAAATCCCTAATCACCTCTCACCTGGACATCTGCACCAGCCTCCTAATTGGACTACCAGCTTCTAGGGTCTTCTCACTTCCAATTCATTCTCCGAAAAGCTGTCAAAATATTCCTAAAGCACTAGTCTGACTATGTGCCTCCCCCTTTCAAGAATCTTCAGTGGCTCCCTATTGCCTCTAGAACAGGGCTTCCTAACCCATATTGTGTCATTGACCCCTGTGGCAGTTTGGTAAAACCTATGGGCACCTTCTCAGAATGATGGGTTTTAAACCTATAAAAGAAAATACAAAGGATTAGAAAGAAACTCAACTGTCTTTTTTTTTTTTTAAAGTTCACAGATGCCATATTAAGAACTCCTTCTCGGGGCAGCTAGGTGGCGCAGTGAATAGAGCTCTGGCCTTGGAGTCAGGAGGACCTGAGTTCAAATCCAACCTCAGACACTTAACACTTACTAGCTGTGTGACCCTGGGCAAGTCACTTAACCCCGATCGCCTCACCATAAAGCAAAAATACAAAAACAAAAACAAAAAGAACTCCTTCTCTAGAGTAAAATGTAAACTCCTGAGCTTAGCATTTAAAGTAGTCCTTCACAAGCCTTCAGCCTACCACTCCAAATTTATTTCCCAACCCTCACAGACTCTTATTTCCAGCCAAATTGGCTTGTTTGCTGTTTCTTGAGGTTAGCATTACAACTCCTGCCTCAGCACCCTGCCCTCTTTGGAATATACTATACTCTCTCCAACCCTGAGAATCTACAGTTTCATTCAATGGCTCCATTCTCATGCGAAATCCTATTGGGAGCCTGTTCTCTTTCTCCTAATTTAGTGCTTTCTCTCCTTCAAATTATTATGTGTATATTTATCTGTTTATAACAGGGGTGGGGAATCTGTGGCCCTCTAGGTCCCTAAGTGTGGCCCTTTGACTGAATCCAAACTTCACAAAACAAATCCTCTTAATAAAAGGATTAGTTCTGTAAAACTTGGACTCAGTCAAAAGGCCGCACCCAAGGACTTAGAGGGCCACACATGGCCTCAAGGCCACAGGTTCCCCACCCCTGTTCTGAGCTGTTTCGGAGAATTCCAGCTTGAGGAGGAAGGGAAGTATGAAAAAATACCAGAGATTCTCTACCAGTGTAAGATTTAAGAAGAAGTGACTATGGTTTATATGTTGCATCCCACCCCCACCCCAGGAAAGCTAAAGTCAGACTACTTTTTATTTTGCTTTTTGCATCACAACCATCTAGCACACTTAATAAATGAGTCCCATACTGAATCGGACCATTAAAGATTTGACATAGTGAAGCTAAGTGTGTTAATCAAAGTTTCATACTTAAATCAACAAGAAGTTAAGAGTGAAGCACTGAATTCCTAAACCCTGGGCCAGTAGGTATTAATCTCCTTTTCTTAAGTACCTACTATGTGCTGGGCACTGGGGATACCAAAAAAAAAAAAAAAAAAAAGATGAAATGGCCTCAAAGAGCTTCCATTCTAATGGGAGAGACAACACCCACAAGGACCAGGTCACAGTTCAGTGAACCCCCGAGACAGAGCAGTGGCAGGGTGAGTGTTTGGTGCTGAGATGATCCCAATCATACCTACCATCCGTATCCGCTCATCTTCAAGATTCCTGAGAACAGTGGCAAACTCCTGCAAAGACCTTGCTGAAAAAGACAGAGGATGGGGTGACAAGGAGAGAATGAGCTTTCAACATTCTGTACTCTCCACTCCCTTTCTTTGTCCACTTATTCCCCCAAGGGATCCACCCTCCAACTCAGTCCAAAGGTCAAAAGTCAGTCCCTTCCCCAGACTGGCTTCTTTTTTCTTTTTCTAATCAGTGACCATTAAAAATGATCTAGAAATGTATTTTTATACTACACAGCAACCTTATGGCCTTTGTGGAGAGAAAAAGGATTTCCTCAAGGAAAAGATATGACTATACCCAGGAGTATGGGGACCTGGGGGTGGAAAGAGGAGGGGCCTACAAAATTGGTGGGGAAGGGGGGGAGAGAAGTACTATAGGCATAAATACAGTGAGAAGCTTGCTGGGGAGAAGGCAGTTTGCTTTGGAGTTCAAAGATTTCCTGTTCGGAAAATGACCTCCTCAACCCTTTGTCGTCAGTTTCAGCTAATTCTAATGGTGTCAGGAACTTGGCCTTTTCCTTCAGCCACCACACCAACCAAGAAGAGATCCCAATAGGAGAAGCACATCACTGGCTTTCCCTCACATCCCACAATACAGACAGCCAGTAATTTCTATAGCTTCTATGAATAGCAGGGCTCAGATGAATAGGCAGGATGTGGAGTGGGACCCCACCACAACCATCACTAAATCATCCCTAAGGGGCTTAGGCAAGTATGTACACCTGTCCTGAGGCCAAAACTACATGTGCAGATTTGGGGGCTTTAACCTGAATTTTCCTTATATGGATTTTATAGTCCAGTCTTTGGAATGGTTTTGGGTTTTTCTGTTCAACTGTTCGGTTTTTGTTTTGTTTTGGGTTTTGGTTTTTTTGGGGGGGTTGGAGGGAGGTTGAGCGGTGGCGGTGGTGGTAGTGGTAACCTAGAAAAGCACAATTTCTTGATTTTTCTATCCTTGTTTATCCAACCACTACAGTAATAATAATAGTAGTAATAACAATAGTGACAAAAAAATTATATTTACATAGCACTTTAAGGCTTAGAGAGTACCTTATTACAGGCACCATTATCCCCATTCTACAATTGAGAGAAGTGAGGCCCAAAGTTTTTCTGACTTGCCTGCGGTCAAAGCTAGTAAGTTATCAGAGGTAGGTTTTGAATCCCTGTCTCCTGGCTTCAAATCAAGTGCTCTCAAAGAAATACACTGTCAGCCAACATAGAAGCAAGAATAGTATCTGGTGAACCGATTTGGCAAAGGTCAAATTGTTGAACCATTTGTTTCATCTCTCCTCAGCCTTCCCTGTCTACAGGTATCCCCTTTTATTTTTTAACCCCTCTAAAAGCTCCAGGCATTGTAATTGAGCACAGCCATGAAGAAAAGTCACAGAATTTTCCAGGCTGAAGAATTATAAATAGCCCACCTCCCCATTCCCAAGATACTCAAGGCCTCAAAAGCTCAGTCCAATAATGGGCCTATTGACATGGTCTTCTGGACTCATGACAGCTGTAGGCAGCTGAGAGGCCTCACAGTACAACAGAAAGATGCCCTACACCCTGGACATGGAGTCGGGTTTCCTGACTTCTTGTTTAGGGCGTCTTATTGCTGTACTGAGAGGCCTCTCAGCTGCCCATAGCTGTCACGGCTCCAGAGAAACTTGGATTCAAGTCTCAGCTCTCCCAGCAGCGTCCTGAGTGAGTCTGAGTCTCAGACTCACTCAGGACGCTGCTGGGAGAGCTGAGACAAGCCCCTCAAACTTTGTCTCATTTCTCTTATGTGTGAAGTAAAGTGGATATTGGACTAGATCAGTGGTGTAAAAGGGATCCCTGTAACCCACCAAAAACTAACATGTTGTTTTTGTAGTTCAGTCATTTCAGCTGTGTCCAACATTTCATGACACCATTTGGTGTTTCCTGGCAAAGATACTGGAGTGGTTTCTTTCTCCAGCTCATTTTACAGATGAGGAAACTGAGGCAATCAGAGTTAAATGACGGCTAGTAAGCATCTGAGGCTGAATTTGAACTCAGGTCTTCCTGACTCCAGGCGCAGTGCTCTATTTACTGCACTACCTAGCTGCCAACATTATGCACTATATTTTTATTTATTTTGTTAAACATCTCCCATGCCTTTGGACTAGATAACCTTAGATGCCTACCAGCTTGAACAATCCATGAGTTTAATATGTATAAAAAGTAAAATATTATTATCAAACCATGGTCATACATCCTTTCTCAGAAAGGATGTCATTATGGAATACCTAAGAAAAGCATCTCAACTATTTTTAAACTTACCAGTTCCCCAACTTACCAATGCACATTTCATCATCTGTCTCTGCATCTCCTATGCATTGGAACTTAAATTCATTTAGGGAATCAGCAAATTTCCGCTTGGCAGAAGACAAATCTATCAAAAAATAAAGAAAAAGAAATGCATATGAAGGAGTGTTTAACTAATTACTAACAGCTGTCAATCATTTTACTGACAGAGGTTTTTCACACAAAAGGGGCCTTTCCAAAGAGGGTCTCATCTATATATATTCTGCAAATTAAGAGTCTCAAATTCAACATGTCCAACATGGAGCTCGTTATATTCCCTCTTAAATTTCCTTCAGTATTCCCTTCTAAATCTGCCACTTTTCTAAACTTCCCTGTTTCTGTTGAAAATATTACCACCCTTTCAATCAAGCAGGTTAGTGTCCTTGGGGTCATGCTCAATTCTCACCCCATATGTAATCAGTTACCTTTAATTACCTTCACAACCTCTCCTGCTTTTTCCTCTTTGCTTAAAACAGTCATCACACTAGTTGAGGCCACTTATCACCTCTCACCTGGGCTATTAACTGGTCTCTCCACATCCATTCCATTTTCCACATAGCCACCAAAAGAACCTTTATAAGGTATAAGTCTAACCATGTCTCTCAACCACTGAAGAATCTTCAGTGGAACTCTACAAAACATAAACTTCAGAGTGTGGCTCTAACTTGCTTATAGATTTACTTCATACTATTTCCCTCTCTATTTCAGCTAAACAGGCCTGCTTCTTATTTTCTGAATTTGGCACTCTCCCACCTCTGTGCCTTTGCTCATGATGTACCTCATACCTAAATGTACTCCCTCCTTACCACCACTAGAATTCTTGGGAGCTTTAAAGCTGTAAGGTCATGTAGCATCTTAAGGACCACATAAATAATCATGAAGGCTCAGATGCCACATCTTATACAATGTTTCTCCTGACCCTCCTAATTGCATTGTTTATATGTCGTACCCCTAGAATGAAAGTTCTCTAAGACCGCTTGTTTATCTCTATATCCTCAGCACCTAAGGATAGTTTTTTTTTGATCTGCTGACTTTGAACACTCCCCTAGATATCTACATAATACTACTAATAATGATCTAGCATTGATATGACCTTTAAAGTTTAACAAAATTTTTATATACATTATCTCATTTGATTCTCAGTCCTATAATACAATTAGTGTAAGAATATTACTCCTACTCCACAGATGAGGAAACAGAGCCTCAGTGTTCCTGAATGACTTGCCCCAGGTCATAGTTACTAAGTCAGTTTCGTTGTGTCCAACTTGTTTTTTGTTGGTCAGTCATTTCCCAACTCTTCATGACCCCATTTGCTGTTTTCTTGGCAAAGATAGTGGAGTGATTTGCCATTTCCTTCTCCAGCTCATTTTACAGATGAGGAAACTGAGGCAAAGAGGGCTTAATGACTTGCCCAGAGTCACACAGTAACTGTCTGAGGCTGGATTTGAACTCAGGAAGATGAAGCCAGTGCTCTATCCACTTTGCCATCTAGCTGCGCTTAGTTACTAAGTGACAGCAGCCAGATTCTAAACAGGGTCTTCTAACTCCAATACCAGTGATCTTCCTACCCAGCCTGTGCAAAGAGATGCAAAAAAGCCACACTATCAGTTCATAAATATGGCCAGCTTGCTGTTAACCCTCATGGCAGGTGACCTCACACTTCCTCTTCCTCCTGAAGTATAAAATAAAAGCAATAGATCCCTAAGTGACCTCATTAAAAAACAACAAAACAATATGGGACTCTTTTTTTTTTCTCCCAAGAGTGACCTGGCAGATCACGGGGGCCTGGCTGGTGTCAATTTGAACCATTTCATCTGATTTTGAACTCCAAAGGGCTCCTCTTTGCCAACAGGAGTCCCAGGCTCCTGCAACCACTGAGTACCGCCTGAGAGCGTGCACGTACACATATGGTGTTTATAAAGTACTCCGAGCTCCTCGTGGAAGATTAAAAAATAAGCTTCTGTTTAATGCAGTAATAAAAACAAATGATCTTTCACAACGCCTTAACTTCTGTTGGGAATCTGAAACCTCCAAGCTAACTTTGAGTGACCTGAACTGACAGATGCTGTTGCTCAGTAGAGACTTTTCGTAGCTCAATCCCATATGTGCCCTGTGCCGCCTTCCTATGGAGGCCTCTAATCACTCCAATTGCCTTCATGTATTTTTCTCTCAGGACTAGGGAAAATGGCATTATGTTTAAATGCCTCAGGGAAGGGAAATGAGGCATGCCTGTCAGCAAGGCCTGCCTTCAGTACAGCTGCTCCAGCTTACCAAGAGCATCAGAACTCCCCAGGAGAAAGGGATGACAGCCTTCCAGACAAAGTCCTCAGGAGTTACTAAGTCCATCACCAGGAGGATGGGGCAGGGAGGGCGGTGTTAATTCCTCAGTCCAGAGATCTCCAGTTAGTAGCGTCCTGTGTGTCTCTAGATCTCCAGGGACTTAAGATAATTCCTTGTCTATAAAAGATGTTTTGAATATTTGGCTAGCTTTTCTTTATACTATTAGCAACTAGGATACTCTTGATCCACATGTAAATTATTCCCTTAAGTGCATATATATGGAGATTACTCTCTTGAGTGTGTGTGTATACATGTGTGTATACATGTATGTATGTATGTATATATGTATGCATGTATAAACAGAAGAAACGGCAGAGACAGAGACTGGGGAGGGAATACGCATATGAGTTACAATGTTATTATTATTATTATTATTATTATTACTACTACATATTCCTACTATTACTGCTGCTTGTCTGCCATTGATTGATGTAAACCAAGTTGCTTAACTTCTCTCTGCCTCAATTTTATCATCTGTAAAATGGAAATGACAATGCCTACATTTCCTATCTCAGAGGGTTGCTATGATGAGCAAAGTGATTTGCAAACCTTAAAGGACTGCTTTATTGAGTAACTGTTATTATCATCAATGTCATTATATCAATAGAGTTGGCTGCTGGGGTCATTAGTCATCGTTATTAATATTAGTCATCTTTTCCAATGGATTTTGGCAAGAAATGGTTCTAAGACAAGTCATTATCTTGCTATTCCCTCTGTATTGAATGATTTTTATTACAAATAGCTTAGAGAGTATTTCACATTTGCTACCTATGAAAAAATGATATTCCTAAATCTTTAGGAATCAAAGTCATGTCCCAAAGATTATGATGATGATGATGGTGGTGGTGGTGGTGGTAGTGGTGGCACCAGTAAAATCTGCTGCTGGAATATCCTCACATCAGCCCTGAATTTACAGGAATGCCAAGCTTCACCCTGGGCCAAGGTGGTTCCCCAAAACCCAAAAAAAAGATGGGGAAATGAACCCTGGGAAAACATCTGATACTCTCACATCTTTTGTTAAACCAATTTGTTATTATAGGGTTCAAAAAACAAAGATTTTGCTCAAAACAGAAGTTTAAGAGCATAACAAAGTCTCTCAAAACTGTCAGAGCTAAGCTGACAGCATTACCCGGAGAATATAGCCAGGCCTTGGGGCAACTAGAACAGGCAGACATAGAAGTTAGAACTATGGAGGATCTTGGGAGCACAGCAGACACCATGTAGCCCAACTACCTCACTTTGCAGATGAGAATGCTTGGGCCCAGAAAGACTTGCCAGCAAGTGGAAGAGACAAGATTCAAATCCAGGACCTCTGACTCCAGACGTCACACCCTTTTCCACTGTACCATGACTGACCAACAAGCAGAAAGGAGAATAAATCGAGAAAAGGGAAGGCAGGGAATCCTACCACCACCACCTCCCGCCCCCCAAAAAAAACGGCACTTGAGTTGACCCATATGGTATTGTTTGGACTAGTTCTCACCTTATGAAAAATGTTTCCCTGGTCTTTGCTTTACAAAGGAAAGACTGTGAGAAGAAAAGAAAAACAAGGTTCATTTCTCTGCCTCCCCAACTACCTATTTTCTGCTTCCCCATCACAGGGGAAAAGAAAAATACAAACAAAAGTTCTCCATTTGGACAATCAACCTAGCCAAATGATAAAAGTGAAATGAAACCCAGGCTTGGGCAAGAATCCAGAATCCTCATGAAGAGCTACTAGGCCAGGAGCACCTGCCAATGCGGACCCAATATAAGACAGTGAACAATGGTGACTTTGTGAAGGCTTTTTACAGGGGGACCCACTTAGTAGCATGCATGGTTTTCAACAGGACCTGTCTGAAACGAATAGCCCTATGTTTCAAAAAGTTACCTCAATTTCCCTGTCTAATAACACATAGCACACACTATCTGTCACTACCTAGCCAATGGCTCTGTGTGGCTGACAGGGATGCCAGCTGCCCTGGATGGGGCAAAGTAAAAAGAAGCTTTCCTGGTTATAGAGGGTGGGGGAAAGGGTTCAATATTAAGACCCAAGCTAGCTAAAATAATTATATAGGAAAAGCAAGAGAATGCCAAAACTTGGCTTTGAAAAAAGAACACACTGATTCACACTTCATAGAGAATCTTAAAATCAAGATAAAGCACCCTACCAGAATGAACTTGCAAAAGCTTCTTGAAAATGAAACTGAATGCTCTTGTAACTAGAATGTCCAAACTTGACCCTAAAGAAAGGACAAGAAAATATACCTCCCTCTTTTCTTTGTAGAGGTGGGGAGCTATAGATGGGGGTCATTGCATATAATAGCAGATTCATTTAATATATAAATTTTGCTCAACTGCTATTCTCTCTTCCACCCCTCTCCCCTCTTTGTTACAAGGAATGGCTCTCTGAGTAGGAGAGAGACATTTGGAAATGAAGATGACATAAAAACAAATGATAAATAAAAAGACTTTTTAAAACCTTTATCAACCTCTCCACAATAATAGTTAATAATAACAATAGCTAAAATTACTATCTCATTTGATCCTCACAATACCCTGAGAGGTAAATATTATTTATCTCAATTTTACAGATGAGGAAACTGAGGCAAACAGAGTTTAAGTGACTTACTCAATAGCTAGTAAGTGTTAGGCCAGATTTAAACTCAGGTCTTCCCAACTTCAAACTTGGTGCTCTATCCCCTGCACCTTCTAGTAGTTAATTTTCTACTCTCTTATCAGTCAGACCTGTTTGTATTCACAGGAAAT